TTTTGTTTATCGAAAAAAAAACAAAAACGTATTTGCGCGCAGCATGCAAAAGGTCTCTAACATTTGCGTGGAATGTTCGTGGCAATGACGTTACGCGTAACAAGGATCGTAAGAACGCCCCTGCATTGACGTAAAACCAAGGTTAACACAGGGACGTCTCGAATCGAACGCCTACGGGTGTAACTAGCGCGGGCGCGACCTACGACCTTAACGAAGTTCCCCCGCATTTCACCTGTTCTGCTGCCTCGATTTCAACACCATGTTAAATTCATCGATTTAGCTCCTCGAGTGGGAGGAAAGCGCAAATTAATTGGCACGGTGTGTCAAATAAAAAACTTTCCTTATGTTCGAACTCGTGGAATCGCTTTTATTCCACTCCTACAAAAGCATAAGTGCGTTTATTTTTAGCCTGTTTGCCTACATCAACAATTACGAGCGTTTGCTTCTACGAAAATAAGTATATTTTAAAATTGTGTATTATGCCGGATAATATATAATATTTTTTCGACAAAGTTTAGAAATAAAAATTTTCTAAATTTTATCGATCAAATTGATAAACACGTTGAAAACTTCATCAAAGAAATCAGTTTTGTAATGTAAAAGGAATTTGAAATATTTTTTTTATCTCACTTAAAGAAGGCAATTAAGAAATAGATTTCTCAAACAGTATTGACAATGAAAACTGAAAAAACTCTGTTTGAACCAACCTCAGACAACCTTATCTTCAACAGTCATACATTGTTCGAGCTGATAAGAGTTTATTTTCATTTATAGGTTACGAAAGCATTTCAAACAAATATACCGAAGCATATTTTATTCGTTATAACAGTCAATCTTTCAAACGATATTCTCAAACATAAAAACTTAATGCGAATAAAGGCATAAATAAATATATTAGTTAATAATTCTGGCAATATATTATATATAGATACGTGAATATTAAAACAAAGATTGTGTCTAATCTGTGCGTAGGTAAATCTTTATGAATATTGATGTTTTGAATTATTTTCTGATTAAATCATATTTTCTCGTTCTTTAAATTATTTATAGCGAAAGAGATCAGAAAATATATATACGACGGCGGCGCAAACGCTCTTGTATTACATACTTTATATATATGTTAGATTGAATGCTTTTGCCGCAAAATGCGAGGAGCTCTTCCTCACTCGCTTCTACCTTGACGGCGAAGTGCGCAGTTGGGAAGAAAGGAAGAGAAGAGAGCCGCCAACTTTGTAACAAGTTCGAATTCTCACAGCGGCGTAGGCGCATACACCTACGTCCGCGTAGGCATGGCAAAGACGCGGAGAAAGAGTCCTCAAAAGAGGACACGCTCTTTAAGAATAAAAGAAACCAGAGATCAACTCACCATATGAACGTTAGAGAGTCCAACCTGATCGCTCTGTTTCTTGTCCGTCTTCTTGACCTGCCGCTTTGCCTTACTCTCGAGGAAGCGTTGCTTCAGCACCTGTGTGTCCTGGGTGTTTTGCTCGCACAGTCCGTTGAAACTCTGATCAAATCTAGGAATGCAGTCCGTCTGTCTGCGTCGGTAGCTCTCGATCCTGCGTCGCAGACGGTCCACGACCGTTTGCCTCCTCGGGGTGAGCACCTCACCCATACCGGGTGCCTGGCCCATTTGTTGTTGCGACTGTTGTTGCTGTTGCTGCAGATGCAACTGCTGCTGGCCGGCTATGCTAAGCTGACCGGCATTCAGCTCATGGATCGCAGACTGGCCGAGAACGTTTCCAGCGTGCCCGTTCGGGCCCTGGCCCGTGCACACGGGAATGGTGCCGGGGCCGACTCCGGGGGGGCCTTGCGGGGGCTGACGGGGCAGGAGCCCCCCGGCCTCCATACAGCCCCCTAAATCCACCGCAGGATAAGCCAGTTCTCAATAGTTGCCACCGAGGTGGTAATCGATGATAACGCGCGATACTGACCGCGCAACCTCGTCATCCACTACATTCGGCTTCCTCGCCGCCGTCTGACCGCCGTGCATTCTTTGCGTTGCCCCGTTGTCTGTGTGCCGACGTAAGCGACCAATTTCCGGCAGAAAAGCATCTGGCCACGTATATTAACGCGTGGCCTTTCGGACCTGACCGCGGTCAAGACCGCGTTTTATGTCTCTTTAAAACTACAAAACGCGCGCGCACCTTTCAAATAATTCTATATATAACTTTAATATCAAAAATAAATATTTTGAAAATATTTAGAAGTGTCTCTCTTTTTAAAAATAGAAGTGTCTTCTATCTTTCTATTTTTCTTTCTCTTTTTGCGAACTAGATTTTGGGTTGTCAAGCACTCTCTCGTCTCAAAATAATGCACTTGTTGCGACGCAAGATTACATGAAAACGTCCGTAATGTGTTTGAGTTTACACACGTTATATATATATATATGATTGTGCGTTTACGTTACGACAAGGTCACCATACATACACGAGACGTGATACTCTCGCGACGAGAGACGATGTGATGCGCGCGAACTCCCGCTTAACCGTAACACGATGCCACACACCGGCGCGATGCGGCGCGGCGTCGACGCGACCAGTTTCGTCAATGAACGCGACGCGTTCCGCCTTTTGTTCGCGCGATCCACGTGACCGCCGCGCGCGATAATGCGCGCGTCGTCGCACGAGCTCCGCGGCTCGAAAAAAAAAAAAAACTGCTGCTTCTTCCTCCTTCCTCGTGTGTCTTAAAACAGTATATGAGACGCAATTGCGAATTATTGCGTCTCATACGTCTCGATCACTCGATAAATGGTTGCAGTCATGTTTTCGACTGTGTGTGCGCGCACACTAATATATACCGTGTCGCAAGCAGTACAAATACATTGCTCGCGACAATAATCGCGCGATCGATTATAAAAGATTAGCGTTTTGATTTTTATCAGTCTGAATTATTAACACGATAGTTGAAATAAATATATTAACAATCTCTTACGTGACATTTCGAAGCTTGGCGTCGATGTCTCATTCTAGTCTCGCGCCGCCTCCGCCGAGTCGTGGCAACTGTCACTCTCGACACACGCGCAACAGAGAGAAGATTCAACAACAGTAGGACGGAAGGTTCGCCGCGCGCGACTAACTTCACGATAAGAGACCGCTCCGAGAGTCCTTTCTCTCGTCCGTCCGTTCCTTCTCTCTCTCCGTCTCACAGACATGTGCTGTCCTTTTCGCTCTCTCTCTTCCTCTTTCTTCGCCTCTCGCTTCTTCTCGTTGCCGCTCTCGTCATGAAGGTACTGTGGCTCGGTGGTGGTGGTGGGGAGAGCAAAACCCGCGACACACACACTCGCCTTTCGCGGCTTCACAATCCGAGATCTCTCCTTCACCGAATGACAGCCGTTTGCAACGTGATTCTGCTGTTCTGCTAAAATCTTTGTTGTTGACAAGTTGTCGCGGGTATCATACGCTCGAAGCGTGTTACGCTCCGGCTGATTGTCGATTGGATCGAGGAAACACACTGAGTAAACGCCGGGACGACGCTAGGTATTTACGGCAAATTTGCCCGGTGCGTCGTCGAGCACAGTGGACGTCACAACAGGTAGTTGAGCGGAGGGCAGCGTGCTGCCGCTTGTCCGGAGAAAGAGAAGAAAAGAGAGCGGGTGGGAGCGAGAGGTCGTTAAACGGCATCGGTGCGCGGAAGGGAGACCAACGTCCATCGGACAGAACGAGAAGGAAACATATGGCAGTGAAGAAGGTTGAGGGAAGGGAAGAAAGCGCGCGAGCGAGCGAGTGAGAGAGAGAGAGAGAGAGAGCGGGAGTGTGATAAAGAAAGAAGGAAGAGAAGTGAGGGAACAGTAGCAGGCAGGGAAAGAGTGATCCCAACGTTCCTCGTCGCGAGTTCCTTCCTTCCTCGCGCACTCGTCTCGAGTCGCAGCTTCAAAGTCTCTCTCTCGCGACACGCCGCCGATCTTTCGGCTCTCACGACGTGCAAATAATTGATCTTCACTTTTCGCGGCGCATCTTTTTTTGTTTTCGTTTTTCTTTTCTCTCGCCAGTCAATCGTGCACGTACATCACGTATCCGTATAATTTTTCAATATACGCGCCGTTTTACTTTGTAAACGCTATCTAGAGATCGAAGGTTCTAAAATCGATGCTCCGATTTTTAACACTTCGGAGAAGAAGTCGCTATCGTTAGCGTTGGCGCCTTCACTCGCGACAAATGCTCCGGAATTCATTAGAATCGCTTCTTCACACCACTGTTCTCTCGTCGGTGATTCGCCGGCCGACTCGCGCGAAATCCGTTTTTTTCGCGCAACGCAATCGCCGTGTTATATATATACGGTCGCACGAATATATAGATGATTCGTTAGCGCGCTCCGATCCCGCGCGACACGCGGATATTTTTCCTTCACCGCCGCCGGTACGGTAACGTTCGACCGGAGTCGCGCAAACGTCGCGCAATGAATCACCTGTCATCGAGCGTTGCCATCGAACGCGGCGCGATCGTACAAAACAAATTACATAACCTCACTTTTCGCGTGTCTCGCGCACGTACGCACGCGCATCTGTCGCTCTGTCGCCGCGGCCGCGACACCGCCGTTGTTGTCGCACAACGGGATTTCTGTCTGGTTTCTGTTTGTGTCGATCGCGTGATTATTTATGCGAGCGATCGTAAGCGGCGACGAAACGGAGAACGCCAAACACAGAATCGCGACTAACGAACGCGCGCTGCCATTAACAGAACTGCGCGCAGGGTACGAGAAATGGGAGCATGTGTCGTTCAAACCGTATGAACCATAATTACTACCGCCGCGACGCGGCTGCGCCCTGACAGCGACACGAGAAACTTCCAGTAGCGTTGATGATCCATTGATCGACGCGCGTTTCAACGCGTATAAAAGTGATTGGGTGTCAATATACATATATTTTTTGTATGTATCTTGAAATGAAAGATGAAAATTACAAAAGTTAGCCACGCAATTCACTGGAAAATCTACGATTTTGCAGATCAAAACCTAGTAAATTTACTCACTTTAGTCAATCTCTTGTCTTTGTGTGTCGTACTGTATAACACAATCAACCTCTTAGTGGCGTCATCGGTCAACGAAGAATAGAACTAACTAAAAAATGACGTTTTGTTAAGTCGATACAAAAACACGTGGCCATTCGAGCTTTTCTGCGCAGCTCTAAGTAGTTTACGCTACTTTGAATCAGTACTTTTTTATTACAGATTTTTTCTGTAAAAATTTGACTAAAAACCAAATAAAAGCAAGAAATCTCTAACATATATATATATTATAAAACTCATCTGTTGTAGGTGTAATATAATATATTTTATCAGCGATTTTAGATTAGGTTATAGAGGTTAGACCGTGTATGTGTGCAACAGTACTTGTAAATAATAAATAGTTTAGTAATATTTTTTATATTTTTTATATTTTTTATATTAGTAATATTTTTTCCGCTATGGCATCAAGTACAACAAAAATAAAAACTAAACTTCCGGCAATACCAGGCACAAAACCTTCGGTGAAAAATGCACAGCTGCTTATTTCCACAGGGATACCTTTTCTAGATAATATAATAGGTTTGTTTACAAATGTATTTAATTTGTTTCACAAGTATTATAACAATTATATTTTTGAGATCTCTGATATATTTTATGTTTTAGGTGGAGGCTTACCTATTGGTTCATTATTTATAATTGGTATGTATATACTTTAATAGTCTGTTTAATATATGCAAGAATGTATGTATTTATATAAAATTTGTATACATAAGCAATATAATATTTATTTTTGCACAGAGGAAGACAAATATGGTTTTTATGCAACAATTATGTTAAAGTACTTTATGGCTGAAGGTATAGTGATCTCTCAGCCTTTACTAGTTGCGTCACAAGACGTTAAACCTCGCCAACTTATATCAGAACTACCTGCAGTTATAAATGATTCAGAGTCTCATTCAAAACCTGCGCATAATGCAAATGATCAAATGAAAATTGCTTGGAGGTACCAGAATATGAAGTTGGTAGATTCATCTCCTACAGGAAGTCAGATGTTCGGCCATTTCTTTGACCTCACAAAATCAATGCAACAAGATCTCTTAGAACAAGCAACCATAAAACAATGGCATGAAAATAATCCACAGGAACAAAACAATATGTTTGAAAATAATGCTTATGGTAGCTTATTACATGTCATTCAAGAAACCTTGCAAGATGGACAGTATCTTCTCTCTGAGACAGTTGACAAGAAGAAAATTTTAAGAATTGCCGTTCATTCTCTGGGATCGAGATTATGGCTTTCCAATACAGAGGAATCTTCCAAGCGTGATTTGTTAAAATTTTTGTATTGCTTTAGAGCACTCTTGAGGAATTCTTATGCAGTTGGGGTAGTAACAATTCCAGTTGACACTTTTGATAACATTGTATGTTAGATAACATTTAGTTTTAAGTACATTTTGAAGAGTTCATTTCTACATTATAATGAGAAATTCTTTATAAATATACTTTTTAGGATGCTGTTGTTGAAAGAAGTGAACACATGTCAGATATAGCTATAAGATTAGAATCATTTGCAGGATCTGCAAAGGAAACTAATCCATTATTCAAAGATTATCATGGTCTTCTGCATATAAAAAAACTACCTGCGTTAAATATACTAGCACCTCATTCTTTAGAATTTCGAGATTTGGCGTTTAAATTACGTCGTAAAAAATTTCTTATAGAAGTCAGTTGATTTTATAATCTTGTTTCACTAAATTTATATTTCAATATTATAGCTTAAGGTTTTATATAAATTTTTCCAATTGTTAGGTTCTACATTTGCCACCTGAATTCGAGGACACGACACAACGAGAGCAAGACGAGATAGCACCTGCTATTGGATGTATGAGTGGATCTCATAAGAAAGCATTAGACTTTTAAGTTTATATGCAATTTGTACAAAAACTTGAATTATAGAAAAAATATATATTTTTATTGAAAGTAAATATTTTATTATAATCTATAGTGATCAGGTGTAAGCTGCTCCAAATTTCAAAAATGAGTGGAGAGTGTCTCAATGGGAGCATGAAACACTTTTTTGGTGGTGTATTGCAACAATTTTTTTTTTATTATTAATTCAGATGTGTAAAAACGTTTCAAGTTCGTAGATTCGGTCTTTTTCAACAAATAATATATGAAATATGAATGAGACTAAATAAGTAAACAAAGCTAAGATCTTAATGTGTAATATTAAGAATAATATAATATTAATCTTCAGATACTTCACGTATTTGATATCAGGTGATACCTCACTAGGGTCAAAATGGGACAACTGATTTTTTTGGACGTATCTCTTCGATATTATGAGAACTATTGAAATATTATTTACCCAGATAGCCAAATGTGAAAACTCAATATAAAGCAAATTATTGTATAGATTAAGTTGTTCGCCAATTGCTGTTGTGTTGTTTTTATTTAATGCAACGAAAATGTTTTTGTCAATTCAGTATCAATATGCTGAGTTTTATTATCAATCAATTGTTGTAGCGCCAATGTTTATGACATGTGAGTCAGCAATATGTGAGCAATATATGAGCAATAATTTTTATTCATAAGTTGAGAAAAATAATATAAGTTTATTGCCGATGAGTTGTTGAGAACTTGCTGTTATTATATTTTGAAAAAACTGTTGCTGGCAAGAACATACTGAAAAGAGGATACATCCTTTTGTTACATTGCTGAAAACATATGAGTAATATTTGTGGCAAATTGCCAACAACTTGCACTCAGTTGGCTATCTGGGTATACATGAATCTCAAGGTTGTTTAATAATTTTGAAGACTGTTATTTAGAGTAACAAAAAAAATTTGGTTTTGCATTTTGTTGTTTTAGTAATAGAACATTTTAACATAAAAAGAGAGAAAATATAAAAATGACAGAACCGCTCGCAATGTAAATACAAATAAGCAAATAAATAAAAAATATTTCTATGTTAAAGCGTGATCATTAAATTATTTATTTTATTATATTAATATCTTTCTATTAACCCTTACGGAAAAAACGTTCAACTATTGACCGTAACGTACGAAATCGTGTTCAATTTGACCGTTAACGCTCAAAATTGAACATATAACGCTGAATATTGAAAGTTTACGGTCAAATTGAACGTGATTTCGTACGTTACGGTCAATAGTTGAACGTTTTTTCCGTAAGGGTTAATAGAAAGATATTAATATTATAAAATAAATAATTTAATGATCACGCTTTAACATAGAAATATTTCGACTCTAACTTGAGTCTTCTTCAGTCGTGAGTGTGAAAATATACGCAGTATACATTAATTGATGTCAAGAGATAAAAAGAAGTCAATGTCTAAAACCAACGCAAAAAGTTGGCTGTTGGTAGTAATCATGGCGAAATTACCTCGAAGATGACATTCTAAAAGATAACAAAGAAGAGTATTGAATCAGTGTTACACACACACAAAAGAACAAAACTCACAAGTGAATTTACTAGGATGTCAGATAGTCAGACTCTGAAGGCAGAGATAAGAGGCACGAGACATATAAGTATTCTTCCACTCACAGTGGTTGTTTTTCAGTTATGGTGAGAGACATTCAAAACATCGAAGTAAGAAGTGTCAAGTAATTCCAAATTGTTAACAGAATTTAAACCGTGTGACTGTTTTTTTATAAAGATCATTTCAGAAATTAGTCTCTTGTAATAATGATGTTCATGATCTAAAATCTGGACATTGTCCCAATCAAAAGAATGATTGAGATCTGTTCTATGTTTAGCAATTACTGACAGTTGGGAGGAGGAACGTTTTATGTTGTTAAAATGTTCCTTCAGTCTCGTTTTTAAACGCGACTGAAGGAACATTTCTTTCTATTGCTCGATGTGACCTTATTTATTTGCTTATTTTAACATAAATTTTCGAAAAAAACATCATTTTCTTTAAAGAAATAGTAATTTTGTACTTTTAAAAGAAGATAAGAAGATTTTAATGTACCAAAGGATAAAGTTCAAGAGTACTATAAGAGAAAAAAGGAGCCATAACGATTCATTTCAAAAAATTTATTTTTTTTGCAAAATAAAGTAACAGTTTTCATCTTGTAAAAAAACAAGCAGAAACAATTACGGCTGTAAATATGTAAAAATTATCTGGTTTTGTTAATATCAGATAAGAATGCATACAAACAACTAAATATAATTAGAAATAATTAATTTTTTTATTTCACTTGTGTCAAGTACCTCTGAATTCAAACCCAAAATTTTCTGAGAAAAACTAAACCACTGTGAAAAACTATTTTTACTGTTTTTGACACTTCTTTTGAAACAAAAATATTATTTTTAGTACATTAGAAGAAAAAGATTTTTAGTACAATTACTTTTTCGACACTACCCCACAAGAGTAAAAAGAACAATTTTTTTTTTACACATCTCGAAATTTGAAGCAACTTTACTTAATTAACTTAGATTAAGAATCTCATAGGCGGAAGAATGCGAGTATCGTGTTGTCAATCTTTCTTCACAATTTTATTACAATTTATTTTAGTTTTTCAACAATAAAAATCTTGAAACGTTGAATTAAATTAAACAAAAATCTTGTAACAATTTCAAATCCACTTAACGTATAATTTGATCCTTAATATTACACACTTCAAGATTATAGCTTTGTTCACTTATTTAGTCTCATTTATTAGGATATTTTGTATTGAAAAAGACCGAATCTACGATTAAAACGTTTACACATCTAAATTAATAATAATAATAAAATAAATTGTTGCACTACACCATTAATAGTGTTTCGTGCTCTTTACTCATTGTTTACATATTTTTATCATGTTCTGTGTATATTTCTGTAATACAATATATTTTTATCATATTCTGTGTATATATTTCTATAATACAAGAAGCGATTGTTAAGTATTCAAGACGAAAAAAACAACAATTTATTAGATTGAAATATATTTGTTTTTCATTATAGTTGCCTTCTATCTCGATACATTTCGACCAACTTCTCGAGAGCACTTATACCATTTTGAAAACGATTTCTCGAGTTCTTCAAAATAGCCATTATCGATGACTTCATTGTTGTTCGAAAATTTCTCTCCACTAAGTTTGAAAACAATTATTTGGAAATAAATGGAACTTGCTACACCTGGCGGGTGCAGTAATTTGAAACCCAAATCATTAATTTTGGCTATTGCAACATATAAAATGTAAACTGGTATATTTCAGATATATATTTTATCAATTATCCCTCGTACACCACTCTTTACATTTATATTTCAAACTATATAGTTAAAATATCTTTTTGCGTATTATTGTTTTAGCATATTAAAATTTTTATTTATATCTTTATTTTTTCTGTAAATTTTTTGAGTTCTAGGATATATTTCGTGATTTTGCTTCTTATTTAGTCAAGTAAACAGCATTTTTCACGTATACGTAGATTGTGTCTGTTCCATTTAACGGGAAGTGCACGGTGTGGCAGCTGAATTAATGTAGACGAGAGGAGATAGGCTTCGTGCACACTTACAATAATGCGCATAAAATATCTTTTACGCCGAGTTTTTGTCGTAAAAGATATGTATATGAGTTCAACTTGTAAATGTATATCATAATTTCCGATTACAAAGAGATTACATAAATACAAATCTGGATATTTTAAAAACAAATCTTCAATACATATATATGTGGTATATTTTCAAAATAGGTTGCTTATCAATTATTATAAGCAGAGAGAGAGAGGAGAAAATAATCCTCCGTGAAAATAACAAAGTCAATTACGAATATTTATACATGTATATATTTATGATACAATGCGCACATATGACAAAATTTAAGTGAAAACGAAATTTTATAAAAATATAGGTATAATATTCGAGTAACTCAAACAAGTGGTAGTCATCTGCCACCGAAAGTTTCCCCCTTCTGTATCAAGTGAACCTTCACCATATAATCGACTCAAATCGTGTACAAAACACGATCGACCTGCAAATACCCGCATAAACTTTTCATGCTATCTTCTCCTTCCCCACCACGCTTTTTTTTCATCCACACCTTTCTACTTCCTTCCGGTTCCGTCCGGTCGGTCGCGCATGAAGGCACGCAAGCGCGCCTGCGGACCCCACAGCATCGTGGAGTTCAACCACTACGCACCAGGGGGTTTTCAGTCCGCGAACATACGCGATCAGGTTCACCTCGAAAAAAAACATAAAGCTGTAACATATTGTAAATTGTAAATAGTTAAATGGCCTAATTGTGCAACGTTCTGTATTATGCAGTGGACAAAGTGTGATCAACAATTTATGTGAAAACCGGTCAGTTGCAAATCGTTGATTGTTTGATTAAAGAGAACATTTCAAAAAAGACGTGACAATGGCATCTAAACGATTAGATATATCGCGCGGTTTTGTTTGTTGCTCGAATATAATTTTCTTGGTGAGTTAACGATTTTTACTTTAAGCGTGTAACATTAATCTATAGGATGTGTTTAACAAAATACACAAAAATATATCTGAAGATATTGTGTCGGAAAACAATAACAAAATCAATTGAATGTTTTTGTTTTGTGCAAAACAATAAAAGTATATTTTAAGTTATCTTGCAAATTTGATGAGATAGTGTGAAAGATTTTTGTACCTTGTTTTTCAGATGTCAGGTTTCGTGTTGATGTCATTGGGAGGATTATTATTAGCCGATAATGATCGAATTTTATTATCACGTTTGTTGGGACCTGGTGACTTCCATCCCGAGCAACCGCTCTTTTATTATTTGGCTTTTGCTTTAGTTGCATTAGGATTTTTTATTGCCATTGTCGGACTTGGTGGATGTTGGGCAGCTTGTCTTTATAATCGCTGTATCACAATTTCTGTAAGAACAATATATTATTTTAAATTACTTTGTGTTTAAAAATTTGTATAATCTTTGAAATCAACTTTATATATATAGGGTAGATGTCCCAATTACGTGCCACTTTAATGCTATCGCGTAACTTCCCACACAGAACAAAAACTCCATTAGACGTCTGTTAGACGTTGACAGTTCTATGCGACATCTAATAGATGTCTAATGGATGTCTGAATGGATGGATGTCTGTGTGGGTTCAGTTCATTACATTAAGAGTTGTTTAATGTAAAAATGATTTTAGTTTAGTATATAATATTGCTTAACTTCTCTTTTATTGATAACAACTTTCTTATGTATTAAGTATAAAAAAATTAATTAATAATTAATTTAAAATGTATAATGAACTCCAATGTCTCTATTACTGTCACCTCTTAAGTACGTATAACTGCCACCAATATAACTGAATAAATGTCAGTACCATTAAATGTGACTCAATTATAGCCGGTCCTTTTCACTTGAGACTCTATAACTGTCACTTTTTTATCCAAATCAGATTAATTGCTGCAAATTTAATTTATAGGTAATCGAAAGTATCAATCGTATATTTTTATAAATAATTTATTTATATGCAAATGTAACAAATACAGTTTTAAGTTATAATTCTTGCTTAAAACCCACACAGACATCCATCCATCCAGACATCCATTAGACATCTATTAGATGTCGCATGGAGCTGTCGACGTCTAATAGACGTCTAATGGAGTTTTTATTCTGTGTGGGAAAATTCGTAAGTTTCAAAATTAGAGTTACAGCTTTAACAAATGACAATTATATGTACCTAATACCTTTTTTCGTCCCTATTACTGATGGCAATGATATAAATAAATCGAAGAATACTGTCTCCCTATTACTGATAACAATGATATGGACAAACCGAAGAATATTGTTCCTATTACTGTTACCGTTAATTATTATAATTTAATAAGTGAATATCACACTTATTTTATTTGTTATATCTCTAAAGTGATATTTAAACTATACTTTAACATTCATTTTATAATAGATATAGATCAGATAAGAAAATTATCATCTTTAGTAGGTGCAACTTTTTCATCATTTCTAGTTACGCAATCGCGTTTTTGAGACTCAAACTGTACGTTTACTTATTAAAATTAATCTTTTATTACCAAGCACACACACAAATATATGTTATTATGTAAATCCAAGTTCAAATTTAATAATAAAATTTATTATGAGTATGATGTTTTATACGCTATATTTTTATAAGTAAAACAAATGAAAGTGGCAGTTATTGGGACAGTGGCAGTAATTGGGACATCTACCCTACATATTATATATGCATATTTTTTTTATATATTAAAATGTTTTATTGCACACACAATATTATATCAATAATTTAATACTTTTACATTCTAAAGAAATATATATTTTATGTTTACGATATTTATCTGTTTTTGCGTATATATTTAAATAGATTTTGTTTATTGCACGACACGTATTGCATAAAAACGCAATGATCAATTAGAATGTTTTGTCTTTCCACATTTTCTCGTGAGTCCAGTGCAATGTGTTGCTCATCGAGTCTACACTGAAATCAGATTTTTTTATTTCGAATTCGGTCGCGCGTCGTTGCTCGGAAACGGATCTACTTGTATATAGATGCACGCGTAAATAAAAGGAGGGCGCGTTCACACCGAGTGCCGCGTAAAATCACTAATTATCCGCTCGTGGATGAGGAAACAAGAATTAGTTTGTCAATGAAGTAAATGTAAACACACAATATAGTCGTCTATATAATTTTCAGTGTTGACAAATTAATTAACACAGCGTTTTCTGTATTTTTTACGTTACATTTAAATTAAATTTAAAAAATTATTAAAGTTTATGAATACAATAGAGAAATAAATAAAAAAAAGCAAAATATTATATGTATTCTAACGCCCCTCTTATAATGTTTATATTATATAAAATTCAAAGCTTATTTTGTGTATACGCGCGTATGTGAGTAGCGTTTTGGACAAATTTTCTGACTTTATATCTTTCTTAGTATCTCGTGACAGTAATTTTATTGCTCTTTGGTGAATGCATCGTGTGCATTATCGCTGTCTTCTGGCCTTATATACTGGGAATTGATGTAAGACCGGCACGTCTGATACGCGCTTTACAACGCAGTTATGCTGTACCTGGACGCGAACAATTCACAGCAGCCATCGATCTCGCACAAACAATAGTAAGTTTATGTTATTCATCGAAATTACAAAATATATTTTAATAGCACAAAAAAACATTTATTTATTTATTGAAATATAGTTGCAAACAAATTACAAAAAGATTACAAAGTGCGTATGTAAAAATGTGATGCTTATCTTTGTTGCTTATTTCACATGCAAATATTTGATTCACGATTATTATCTCTGCTGCATGTATCTAGTATAAGCTAAAAGAAATGACCATTGTTGTGACCATTACAGTTCGCCTGTTGCGGCATAAACGGAAGTAGCAATTACGGCACGTCGTGGTGGCGGCTGCAGGAAGCCGGCCGAAGAGAATTAGTAGTACCTCTCAGTTGTTGCACCCTGAATAACGCCAATGAGACGGATTCCTTCCTCAACCCCAAACCTGCCAATCTTACTCTCTGTCAGGTTCTGAACCCTGCCGAACATCAATACGCCCGACATACTGTGGTATGCGCGCGATAATGAGGAAGTCATTATTGTTTTGTCGTACTTTACTGTGCAGATACATATCAGACAAACTTTTCAAGTAGATTTGCGTCAAGAATAAATACGCAAGCAGGCTTATACATATACCTAAACGCGGGAATATATGTGGATTTTATAAATGCCTATAAGATTATATATTGACATGTTGTCGATAAAGCCATGACTTGTGCGCAAAGCATGTAGTATATGGAAAAATATGTGATAGCACAAGTATATTTTGTATGTCATGTATTGTTCGTAGTTATTATCAGTAAATAACCAAATTTTAATTTTATTTTGAAGAGTGTGTGTCTTTAGATCCGCGCATTTCTAATCTTCAATATTCTATATTTATCTTTATGCAGAATTGCGTTTAGTTTGAAACCCGGTAAAAAATTTTTCATATATACTTATACACAAATTAAAATAATTATATCTAATTATGCAAATTTATATGCCGAATATGTCCATATAATTTTATACACGGAGAATTTCTTTTTTTAAGAGAATGGCTTCAGAAATATTCCATATCAAATTACAAAATAACTCTATTAGTATCATGTTAGATACAAAAAAAGTATATAAAACTATATTTTTACTATATTTTAAAAAAATTTTTGATATATAATCATATATACTTATACACAAATTAAACTTATTATATCTAATTATGCAAATTTATATATACCGAATATGTCCATACAATTTTATACATGGAAAATTTTTTACCGGGAAGTTCGTAGTAAAACTGTAGCATGGTCTCTCGCGCATGTATTAATCTAAATACGAATTAATCCCGATATTAACGTTATAAGCCAGTAGTTTGTTTAGCCGATAATTTTGTTATTATATTTTTTAATTAATAACATATTTATATATATTGTTAAATATGTTGTTTTATATTTCTTCGGTTTATATTCAGGGTTGTCTTGAACATATTGAGAAGTGGACACAAGATCAAGCATTGATCGTGCTTACTATCGTGTTAGCCATCATGTTTGTCGAAGTTATTGCGCTCTTCAGCATATTTCTCGCTTGCTCCCGAGGAAACAGAAGAAGTAAATCGCAAACGTCGACTTTTACCTCCACACAGACTCTGAGTCCGTTCAACGAAAGCGATCACGACTTTAGTAAGAAGTTTTAATCCTTAGATTGAACACTTTTATATGAAAATTATATTAATATGTTTTTATTTAGTTACTGAAAAAATAGGTATGTATAGTTTTATACATAATCTAATTTGTCTAAACTCTAAATAATAGGCATAGGTATCGAAAACAGAATGCACACTGCCGCGACGACATTTGGTGCAAAATCATGAAGACGGTTGGAGGGCAGCGAAGGACGAACACCTATTGATATCAAGAATACTAAACAAGAACCTGCGTATGATGATAAACATAGCATATTAGTGCCGAGCAGAAAGAGTATAATCGAAGAATGGCGAAATCCTCCCAAATACTCTGATGATTTCTTACGAAACGATCAAATGTACGAAGAACGAGCGGTCGATGTTGTAATCGACAATCGTCCTTCGGAGTATCGTAAAAGACAAAGCGTGCCATTGTCGACAATCGCGATTGATGACGTCAACAAAAATAATAATAATAAATATAAACCGATTAAAATTCAAAGGCCACAAAAAGGCGAAACAGTTCGAAGTATTCCAATCAAAGACTACCAAGCATCGATCGCTCATAATTTTGATACGTTAAGACGATCTGTAGCACCCCAATTGCAATTCGAATCTCTGGTTTCGGAACCTGAGAAAAGCGTTTATGTATCGTCGAAAAAAAGAGCTCCCGTAGCCAACTGTAGTAGTTTGTATCAGCGAACCATGTCGCCTACACACACTGCTACGCAAATCACTAACGCTCACCAAAAATCATGTTGCCACTTTTGCAATAGTCAGCACAATTCGCATATCTGCAATGATAAATACATTGAAGATGATCAACGTTTTGACAATACGGAGGCTCAGAAATTAGAGGACAGTTCTGACATAGACGAATATTTTCACAAAAAATTCAACTCGAATAATTACCAAACTTCAGTCAAATGTACTCGCAATTTTCCACCAAGTACGATACCGACTGTTACGAACGAGGACAAAGCAAAATTAATGAGGGATGAGCAAGCATTACAGTTGGCGGAAGGTCACGTTGGTAAAAAAATATCGGCTTACGAGGAAAACACAAGACGTAGTTTGCGCAATTTTAATCCCAAGTATCGATCGCTCTTCGAAGTGAAAGGACACCGGACTATTGGTGTACCATTGGTAGGTATGCACAACGCCTGTGGCTTACCCGTCGTGGCTTCTTGGAATGACCACGAATTTCTAGATCCTTTGCGAATCAGCCGCAGGATTGCAAGAACTGTGAGACCAATTTACAGAAGTCCTCGAACAATGTCGAACGTGAAACGTCGAACTCAACCGAAAAGGAAGGCGCCGCAACCGGAGTGTGAGGTGATGCCTGCGAAGAACGTCGATCGCAGCGTCAGAAGATCAACGATCAAATCGGCGCATTCAGATGCTATTAACGGCAGTAGAAGGTCTAGGAAAAAACATTGTCGCTCGTCTCTTATCACTACAAAAATGGGATCATTGTCTCCAAAGAATTCATTTAAAAAGACAACTAGATACATAAGACATGGAATTAAAGCAAGTTCGTTGATGGATACTTTTGGCAGGAAATCGCTTAAAAATCCAAGTATGAAACGAACGACACTATACGCGAAAGATGACGGAAAAGAACCTGTTCAAGTTCTCAAAAATTTGTGTTTGAATCCTTTGGCGCGTAATAATCCTGAATCAGATATGATGTGGTGAGGCAACAATGTTCATAAAGAAGTTATGTGCTTGCTTGTGAGTGTTCTTATTAATATTTTTATTGAATTATAAAAAAATGTCTTTTTTTGCATTGTTTATAAAAACAATATAAATAAATAAGCAAGATATTTGAACATACAGTTTTACTTTTTATATATTCAAAGATGTTATTACGCGTACGAGTTTGTTGTGTAAATATGTATTCGATATATATATAATATTATAGTAGTAAAATTTATTAGATTTTATATATCTGAAATTTTATAATAAAAAAGGAAATACCTATGTAATCTTTGCGCTCGCTCGCGCTTATCGCTGCCCTCATTGAAGCAATATCATATTATTATTTGTATTAAATATGATTTATTATATTTTTATATAAAGTGTATCTTTTTACAATATTAAACTTGTAGATTTTTACAAAATACAGGATTTATACTAATAAAGTTATATATGTTGCTACTGTAGACATAATCTATATAAAATAAAAACAAATTTATAGAATTATATTTCAATTATTAATAAAATAAAAATAATTAACTTTTCTCTCTTACCGAAAGAAGTATTGTTAAATCCAATGTGAAAAATCCTGCTGCCGAGAAAGAAAATCTCTTGTGATAAAAATACAACATCATCTCAATTCTCTCCTGGAATCATTCATTTTTATAAAATGAATTTTTGTATAAACAAATCTAGTTTCTGTCGAAAAAAAAAGCTTACCAAGCGACACTTTTTGTTTCTCGATAATAATGCATATTGTATCACGCGTTCTTCAACGCGATTTGCCTGTGAGATAATAACAATAATTAATAATAATAAACTTGGTTAGATTCACTTTTTTTTGTTTTATACAATAAAGGTATTAATTTTAAAATAGTATTACAAGAGTCTGTATATTCTCTTATACCTCGTAAGTCGTAATGTGATACATTGCAAACAAGTAAATGATTTGAAAAAATAAATCCAAAATCGACACTATCGAATCTTCCTGTACAACTGTTATGAAGATATATATGCTTGCAACAGATTCTAATAATATGGACCCGAAGGTGAACAAAGTGGCGATCCCGTACAACGAGTCCAGCAGCTCTGCACTATCGATGAGCACGCCGTGCAAATAACGTACGTCATAAATCGTGATTTCACCCCATGATCTGGTTACCGGTAACTGCGAGACGTAAGGGATTATCTCTTCATTCAAGTGACGGAAACGTTGACGTATCAGATCCAGAAAAATAACGGTTATGAAAACGCAGTAAGTGCCACAAACGGTAGGAATAACGAAATAAAATATCACTCTTATTGTTGCCATCGTTCCTTCCTGTAGAGCAGTTTTGAAATTAAAGTATGACTTTACGCTTATCGTACCAAACGTATACATGAAATACAGCCATGTGAATATATTCTTATCGTTCCTCTCGTGCCGTAACGTTTTTGCTCTGTCATCGTATTCTTCCAGTTTTTCTGAAAACTATAATTATATTACAGAATTAATGTAAATAATCAATTGTTTAAATTTACATTTATCGTTTTTGCGTGTGTGTGTGTGTGTGTGTGTGTGTGATTAAGTACAAACCTTAACAAATTCTTTGTAATAGAAAATCATCACGTAATTGTAAGGTACCAACGATAAGATGAACACACCGAATCGCACCAACGAAAGTGTGAAGTTTTTTTCAGCTTTTTCAGCAGGAGATGTAGCAAAGAAGTGTTCGTAGGTGAACGCAATGAGATTTGCACAATGAACTAACATCCATAGCGCACAGTAGCAACGGCTCCAGATAGTACTTTTTTGGAATTGGCCATTCATGAACTTGCACGAGATCAATCCTAATATTTTGTTAAGAATAACCAAAGACTTTATGTTTTGAAAAGGTGTCTTTACTGGTTCTGATATTGCATTTGTTATGACAAAAAATATTGTTCTGAATAGATTTGTTATTCTCGATAACATTATTTTTAACGAGTAAACAGTAAAACAAAGTTGATCTACAATTCGTACAACTATTTCTAACAATTCTCAACGTGTACTGTACGACCAAGTTCTAAGTTATTATTATCTTTCCGATTTTTTTTTTTTTTTATCTTTATAAATTGCGGTTTTGTTATATATGTACTCTAATGCATCCAAGAGATGGAAGAGAGAGATTAGGATCGACACAAAGCAGATGATGTATTAACGATAATCGTCAAACCACTATGTATAGTAAATCCATTTGCGACAGGTCAGTAGTTTAGCTCATAAAAATAACATTCATACAAGTAAAGATACATGTAGCGCATGTTACGGTTCTAACTTATCACGCGACGCCTGTCGCCATGTATAAAAATCGATAAAAACTATGATTCATTATCATAAAAGTTTGTTTGAAACCAGTTATTGATGCTATCAATTTATTAATGAATGAGCTTATAATTAATTAATTCACGAGATGTTTTGTGTACTAAATTTTTATTAAAGTAAATGTTCGTACACACTCACACATTATAAAAAGTATTAAATATTTTAAAAAATAAAAAATAAAAAATTATATTAGTATTATGAAGTACGTAGTTATTGCTGCTATCGTCTAAAAATATAAAAGTTTATTATAAAAAACAATAATTGTGTATATATAACGTGTATGGACTTTTTACAAAATAAAAGATTACTTACAGACTGAAACAAAGGTAAGTTAATAGTAAAATATCCTCCCGCTTCAAAAAATACACGTTTATGTAAAAAATACGTTAATAAATTAACTTTAGCCTGAAATAAAAGAGTCAAAGTCAAATAAAAAGATTTATTTTTTTATCAAATAGTCTTAGTTACCATTGTATGTCCTGGATTACTAAGTGCGGTCATGTTTTCATTTAAGATAAACGAAATATTATTAGCCTGAAAAATGTGTGTAATTATGTAATAAACTTTTATATAAAAACAAAACTGAGGAAAACAATTATATTTACAAATAAGATAAATTTTTTACCTCTTTGGCTGTGTAGTGACAAATCGAGCATAAAATTAGCAGTTGCATAATTGGAGAGCTGATAAGAGCACAGACTGGTAAGACTTTCTTTTCGCGGAAGTAATGTATGTTCGCAACGATGCGTATCATGAGGGATGCGAACCACCATAAAAAAGGATTTGTGTAGATGTTACTAAACGCTTGCTGGGCATCGTAAAGCATTGAGTATAGAATTTTCAGTTCCACAACTTTGATCGGTTTCGATTCGTTCCGCTTTTCGTCCCATGATACATACGGTGCGATTTTCTCATTTAAATGTTTAAAACGTTCTAGTGTTAGATATAAAAGAAGAAATTTTTCCAACGTGCCGTACATATGCATGCACATTACGAAAACATCCGAAAACGTCACGAAGAACATAATGCCTTTCAAGTTTTCGCTCATTATCACACTCGTAAATAACACAATAAAAATAATCATTAAAAGTGTAGCGATCCAATATACGAGCAAATTGTCTTTTCTTTCGTTTCCCAATTGTGCAACCTCATGGTCGTAACTATTTAACCGATCAAAGAACTGTGACAAGATACAAGTTAGAAAAAACGATAAACAATAAAATATCAATTCGAGTACTCTCTTTTGTGTTTCTCTCTATTTCATTATATATTACATACATCTCAAATTTTTATAATTGTAATACTGTTCTCACCTTGCTAAACTGACTTTGCGAAGAGTAAGCACTTATGACGTTGACGCTAAGACTTATATATCCTAGCAAATGTTTCACAAAATCCACAGTCAATCTTATCGAAATAGATTCCACCTTTACAAAACAGCATAACAAAAACAATGTATATGAGATGTACAGTGTCACCCAAAAAACGCAAATACCGTAAAATGGCCAAGAACAATGTTTTAGTCGGTCGTTTGTTATTTTGTTAGCAAACATGCCGAAAAATTTAAACGTTAGTAGAAATGGCTTCATGCGCTTTACAACGCATTGTCTACGAGAAATAAAACGTTGTTTTAATTGCTTTACAATGTGTTGTTTTCGCACGCGCATGCTCTTTTCGTTTCTTATAACTTTTTTTTCTGATTTTAGAACATTAAATAATTTATTGTTTATTTTAAATGTGAAAATATCATGGTTTAAATACTCAGAGCACAATATACCGTTTGAATGAAACGTGCGTTGCTACGATCGAACGCACATGTAAACTGTGTATCGCGATTCGCATTAAACTATCTACTACGTTCGATCTCATTATGTGCGCTGCATGCGTGCTAATAAATGTCTCTTTTTTTCTACACTTTTACATCTACTATTGTATCTTTTTTTAGCGCACAATACTTTTTACTTTGAATAAATAAATTCTGTGACAAATATAAATGTCAACAGAAATTACACAATTTAATTTGCTTGCACGTATAAAACTGATGCTAGAACTGAGTTTTAAAAATGTTGTGCCAGCTTCAATTTATTTAAGTCAAAATAAGCGTTTAAAAGCCAAAAATTGTTATCAGGAACTATAGAATTAGTGTTATTTGCTCTTAAAATAGATGTTACACTCTAAATTTTATCTTGTAAAATGAGATGTTCTCTAGAGTTCGTAACGAAAATTTCAAAACGATGCGTGAGACATGGACAGTTTGAACCGGATGCAGAATATTGTGCAATAGATAAAAAAGTTTTGATAAAATTACTCTCTAAACGTTTCGACTTTTATTCTTTTAAGACATCATTAGTGGAATATTCGATACAAATCAATGAAATATAGTAGAATACGTTGGATATACAAATCAGAAAGAGACTATAAATCGATATACTATAATAACAAAGATTACAAAATATAAAGATTGCAAAAGAAAACATAACAAATAGTTGCTAACGTACTTTAAGTTAACTTTTCTTTACTATTGTGTGACGAAATAGTTAAAAAATTTTTATTAAAGAGTCAGTTTTATAAAATAGTCGACATGTTGACTGATGTCAAAGAGATTCGTCAATACTGAGCGAATAATCAAAGTCAAAAGGAATAAATACAGATAAATTTACATGTTTGATAATAGTTCTCTCTAGACAAAATACATATGTTGAAACTAATTGATTATATTAAGTATTGGAAGACAAATATTATCTAAGCTTTCAGTGTCTTGCACGATATTATAATGCTTTCGTTATGTAATTTGATATAGAGCATCTACGAAGTTATTCTTTTAAAGTAATTAGATTCATAGTCAAGAATGAATGTTGAATTCCAATCAAAGAAATGCCTAATGGTAAGACAACGCTCCGCTATTAGAGAATTTTGTTCATCTGATCTTACACAATATATATGTTCTTTTATTAACATACAAAGATGTTTTTTCGGGTTTAAACCGCGTGTCATTTTTATACCGACGGTTCGTGAACATTACAGCTCACTTCATCAGGGTTTAAAGAGCAGCACTATGGCACATTCCATCTTGCTATAACACATCCCCCCTCCTTCTTACCATTACACCCTCTCTCTACCACACCCCTTCCACTTCAATCTAACGCTATAAAAAGGAACACCTGACCAAATTTTTTCAGTATCAGGCTGCTCTTTAAACCCTGATGAAGTGAGCTGTAATGTTCACGAAACGTCGGTATAAAAATGACACTAACGCGGTTCAAACCCGAAAAAACATCTTTGTATGTTAATACTACACACCGCGAAAGCATCAAATATCATGTTCTTTTATTCTCGAAATTTAAATGGTCGTGGAAGCTTTACGCTGGAAGTTTGTTGCAAAATAAATAAATAAATAAATAAATAAATAAATATATATATACATATATATATACAATATTGTGTATGGGCAAATTCACCATAGTTTTAACTTTTGATGGACTGTTTTATACTGCTGAATCTGAGTTGTTTTTCATATGCACAAGACGTATTTTTTCTTCGTATACTATCTAGTATATGAAGCGCTAATAACTATGTATAAGAATGCAGAGCGTTTGTGTCATTGCTGGCGTTTAAAAATACACTAAGTCGGTAAAATAGAAAATCATACAATATTTTGTCCCTTTCGAATTTGTGTTTCACTCTTAATAACTTTGTACCGTGTTATATAACGCTTTTGTAATAAATGATAAAGTTAGTTCTTGCATTCATACATCTTTTCTCTGGATGTCGATCATGTGCCGTGTAACCGTACAAAATGGTAGCCGCTGAAAAACTTGTCCCTCCATTTTTGCAAAATATTAATTTTCGTAAAGTTAACAATATTACATATGCGCCGTTAAGTTAATTGACTAAGGCCCGGTTTCACAATTGACGGTTAACTCGAATTAACGGAAGCCCAACTTGCTGAACTCGGCATAACGCATCTTTTCTTCCTAAACATGAACTGTGATTAGTTAGCACAGATTTGACAAAGAAGATTGAACGCGTTAAACCGAGCTCAGCATTCAGCAAGTCGAACTTTCGGTTAATTCGAGTTAACCGCGAATTGTGAAACCGGGTCTAAGTTACTGAAGTTGACTGAGTTACTGAAGTTGTAGCAAACATAAAAAAAAAAGAGCGTGACTGAATTCAGCCATCTTAAGTCATTCAAATGCATATAATTTAAAAAGAAATCAATAATAAATTTAATAAATTAATTTTAAGTATAATGTACTAATTACAATATCATATGTGTTAACTATAAATAAATTATACTAATGAATATGCATACCGATTTGTAGAGTTAACCGATTTCTCACGCTCTTTGTTTATATAGAGTGTATTCCGTTTCATGCATATGCGCACATTATCTTATTGCATGTTACGTGTACTATACAATTATGGTGGATCTCAGTCACTGCGCAGAACGTGACAAAAATCGTCCGAGAAACGAGCACACCTTATTACTTCCACCATGCATCCTTACCCACATAGGGGGTCCATCCTTAGTAGCACAAACGTTTCTGCAACGGGTTTTCCAAAACTTAGCAATGTTTCGTTAAACGTTTCTAAAACGTCGTAGTAACGTAGCGGAAACGTCGAAATGTACGCTTTTTAAGTTTCGGTCCGATTTCGTTGAAACGTATAAGAAACGTTGCCCGATAAGTTGCAAAGTTTTTAATGTTTAAATTTTTATAAACATTGTAAAATACATTTTTGTGAAATCATGCAGGTTTTGCAAAAAGCGGACATTTCGACGTTTCCGCTACGTTACTACGACGGTTTAGAAACGTTTAACGAAACGTTGCTAAGTTTTGGAAAACTCGTTGCAGAAACGTTTGTGCTACTAACGATGCTATGTGAGTACTTCTCATTAAATTCCGATTAAAGACACAAGATGTAGCTTTCGGTAAACATAACGCATGACCTTCATCGATATTACCAGAAAGTTCTGTATAATACCGAGTAATTTCTTATTATACATTATACTCTTACGACATGTTCAGTTCCGACGAACCTTCGAGACGATACACATTGAATACAGGTTGCATTAGCGATGTAAATATATTTTATGTTTTGTGTAAAAAGTTATGCAATAATTGTTACAAGTGGCATATAAAGACCTGTATTTTACCACGTTATATAAGCTCCTTTAAACTAGAACGCAATATATCTCTTGAAATAACTACATAAGTATAAGAAATCTATACCGCTCTAAAATATGCAAAAAATATGACCGATTTATTTCTGCAGTCATTTTCACAATTATCAGCTCAACAAACTATGATACATGTTTAATACAGATGTTTACTCTTGTATCGCGTAATATTATAATACCTGTTATAAAACTAGTATATATATGTATTTATCATTAATGTCGATTTTCTCTAGAAACACACAAGATATAATACCTGAAGAACATTAAAAGATATTGTTGCCGTTGATAACGTAACTCGTTTCTGTTTTTAAAAAACTAAAAGAAAGAGTGATAAATTCTACAGTAACAATAAATAAAAAATATATATATATTTGTATATGCATTAAAACTATTTTTTATATTATATATTTCCTTCCATATGTTTATATATTATATATTTTCTAACAATTTCATAGATGTTTTATGAAAATCACTGTTTTCTTGAACAAAAACGAGAATAGTAACAAAGGTTTTGTCGTCACGTTGTTGTGTTTAGCAAATAGCATATAAATTTTATCTTTTTAAAAGTGATTGTAACGCGATTGTAATTTGTTCTAAACAACCACAATGTCGAACGATAGCAAATATACATAAGTCTGCAGATTCATAATAAATTACTGATGTTTTAATGATATCCATGTTTTTGACAAAAACTGTTACTACAAAATATTATGTTCCACAAACGAAAAAGTGAATGATAAATGTACAATAATACCACACACGCGCGCGCGCGCAAAACCAATAAGTATTAGTAAAAAACCAATTTTAATATCAATAAAAAACGATTCCGCGCTATACGCGACACTTCTACATTGTCGATAAATATAATGAAATTTTTATGCAACATAGAGTATATGTACATATACATATATACACATACATATAAATATACGTATAAAATATAGATATAAAAAACTCGGATCCAAACATATACATAGGAAACTATTGATTGTTTCAATCGATCGGCGCGCTTTTATATCCTTTCCCCACCACAACTCCCGTGTAAATCTGTCTTTAACGCTACATCACTGCAACAGCACTGCAACCGCTATGCATCGGCCATGCATTACGGCGCCGGCTTCGCTGGCGCCATGTTATGCGGCGTGTATAGCGGTTGCAGTGCTGTTGCAGTGATGTAGCGTTAAAGACAGATTTACACGGGAGTTGTGGTGGGGAAAGGATATAAAAGCGCGCCGATCGATTGAAACAATCAATAGTTTCCTATGTATATGTTTGGATCCGAGTTTTTTATATCTATATTTTATACGTA